ACTATCGCTTAAAAAGATTTGAAGTCTAACAAAATTAGTGCACGAATTAGACGATCAAAAAGATGGGTATACACATGCTGCACGATTGTTTTTGAAAAGATATTATTGGATTCTTTGTACAATAAAAATATTTATAAGTCGAATAAACGATATAATAGTAGATACTATTTACCAATGTAAAATTAGAAGCGCCTAAACCTAAATACTTAGCTTAGGTGCGTCTCTAGATCATTTTTGCAACAGATTACAATCCTACAGGATTGATGTTGATTAACGGACGGGACGGGATTAAACGGTTAATAGGTAATAGCCTATCTCATGCTCTTAAGAAGGATAAGCCAACAAACGTACTTTCGCCTTTGCATATCACATGTTTTAGTAAAGATCAATTCCTAATTTTAATTAATAAAATTAATTCCCATGGAGAGTTGATGTCAGGCAGGAAAACTTTTGCTAAAGCCTATCAGCAGTACCTACAAAAGATATACTCCGCCGACCCCAAGTGATTGGGAAATGGGCAGGAAGATGATAATGATGTGATGATGATGTGTTAGTAGACTGAATTTTAAAAAAAAATCATATAAGTATTATAATTTCTATGCCAAAATGTACTCGTATTTAATTTTTTTAATATTATGCACGAGTGTGTTCCAGACATAACAATCACACGTCATTGATAGACATAATCGTACTGATTTATGAACTGACCATTTTAAGGCTAATTGCGACGACAAATCGGCTATTTAACGATAATAGCCGCATCTAAATATAAAGAAATATAACGACTTGAACACACCTTAATTAGGATCGGAAGTCTCGAATGTTTTTTAATGTTTAACTAATTTGTTTGTTAGTTTCATTGGTTTATGGATGTTGTAAGTAAAAGTATGTGTACTTAGAAAATCTATAACTAAGTTCAAGGCATTTTGGTTATTTTTCAAAGAAACATTGCTTATATTATATTGGTTTTTAAGTAATATTACCCATTGCTAAACACATTCCACGTGTGACGCTTATTAAAATTCGTTACACATTTAAATTAACTCAATTGGCTGAAAACATGGCTGATTACAAAAGCACTAAAATTTTTCCGTGTCCGTAAATATTATATTATTGTAGATATACACCTAAATAACATATTTAAATCATTTATTGTACCTATTTAGCAAACTTGTAGGTGTACAGTTTTATAAAAGGTAACTTTATACATAAAAATAACAAGTAAATGCTTACATAAGCATTTATTATTATATAAATAGTATTTTTTGTTTGTTCCGATACATTGTGCTTGCAATAATAATTACCTACTTCAGATGACGTACAAATAACAGGCTTAAAAATATTTAAGATGAACCTCAAAAGTACAAAAATTGCCAATATACCCTGCATAAACTTTTGAGACACATGTTTTGAAACTCGACGATTTCGAGTGTATAAAACATTCCTATGATAAACGTATCGAAAACATTCAGCCGATAACGCGTCTAGACAGAATAAATATCCCAAACACTCGAATACCAGCTCGATGGCTCACTTGGCTAATCGTTTGAGTTGCCAGTAAAATAAAAAAACTTTTTTTTTTCTCCAAACACACCCATAACCTACTGCCACTTTAAAAGGTTGAAGGCGAATCTAATAGAGCACGTGCATTTAAAACATTTTAAACGAGCTTGTTTTGAGATAAGCTCGCTTTGGGTGTGGTAATGTCTCCTTGATGTTTTAAAACCAACCATTATCATCGACGATTCCTACTACATTATTAGTATTTATTAAATGAAATAATAATTGAAAGATACTAATAAAAGAGTATTTTATCATTTGCTAAACTTTAAAAAATAAACCATAACCTCAAATTTAATTTGGCGCGAAAAAAATAATTTGACAGTTGCTTTTTTGTACTGTTTATAAATTGGGTCCAAGCAAAGGCCACATAACTTCACCTTGAAACGGCCCGGGCAGTGTGATCGGTGGAGGTTTTATTAAAACCATGATAAATATATTGCAAAATTATAAGTGATAAATTGTATAAATCAAACGTGTAGTCCATAAACAAGGCGCCCCCCAGCGGGAGTTTCGCGCGTTGTGACAAATGCTCGATCGGCGTGCGCGCACCATAAACTACGTGATGGTATTAAACTTACATTCATAATACGGTTTGTATTGAAAACCATTATTTTGTTTTAGTAGTTTAAAATTACAAAACGGAAGTTTAATTACATAGTTTTAATACGCACCTTGTCGATGAATGGGTAATTGTGACAATCCAGTTACTGGATTATTAGATAAATGATCAAATAAATACGTATTAAAATTATTTTTTCAAACTCTACCTAGCAACACATACCTAGGTAATATCTTCCGTTTAAAGTACTTATTACTTTTAAAATCTGGCAAAATCATCAAAGCTTTATAACTTAAATCTTAATATGTAATTACATAAACCTCAAAATGGAAGGATTTAATCTATAGATACCTAATAATGACTAAACTAATACTAGACATGTTTTAGTTTAATAAAATTAAATAATAATAAAATATTTTTATAATATAACATAAATATAACCTATTCATATTTTTATTTTAAAAAAACTATTTTTATTTTATTACTACGCGAGGAAAGTACCGTGTCTGTATTTATATATTATACATATTTTAACTAAATCGTGATTACTGTAACGCATTGGACTTACTTTATTTGCATTATACAAAGGCAGCACATCAAATCGCGAGCTCGGCGATTGGTCTATCAAACGCGCCGCACATTGCGTACTTAATGCGAGTTATCGCGCGACGCTTTCACGCTTTTCGCTATTAATGAGATTAAAATATAAAAACAAAAGCAAAACTTTCACGTTTAAACAACAGTTTTATAGATTATTAGTTAAAAAAAATATTCAATTAATATAAATCATGTTAGGAATTTTAGTAACTCTTCAGATTTCATGCATTTCAGGGGTATGAAGGACTTGTAGAAAACGTTAAATAAAAAGCTATAACTAATCTTTATAATCTATACTCTATAAAGTCTGTGCCAATACTTGAGTAAAGCGGTGGAACGTGCTGAGTAAAGGGTCAGTTCAAATTAAGAGTAAAAATTTTACCGTTTAAAGAAAATAAAAATATTTTTATAATTAGACAAAAGCATTTAATACATTCTCCTTCAACACCTTATACAAAATAAATTATCCAATTAAAATTAACAACATGATATTGCATTGCTGTTTTTAAATTTTTATAATAAAGGCTTTTGTATACCTCCTCATTGTAATGCGGTTAATTTATATCATATAGGAAGAATTAGCGCATGCCCTTAATAAAACGCAATGAAAGAAACAATGAGTCCGTGACCAACGCCTTATGGTTAATAGCGAATGTGAAGGACTTACCATAGAGTAAAATTATATTTTTCTTTACGTTCATAGGCTTTTACAAGGGCAAGGTATCAAGATCAATTAACCTCTTTCCAACCAACTGCTTTTCAAAGTTAAAACTTAATTAGACTCAAACATAACAATATTGGGAAATTCGTACTGCCATGCCAATAAAGAATAGGGTGCAATTCATTTCGTATGGATCACTTTCACTCGTGAACTCATAATATTTATAAAATATCCTTACAGTACAAAGGAGTCGATTAAATGTCCTTTGAAGTGAGGCACAGAGCGCGAAGACGGAGATAAAAGCAGTAAACACGTTAATTTTACTCGAAGTACCATATGCACAAGTCCACTATTCACGGATATATATATTTGACGCAACAGTCAATAACTTAAGATCCATCCTCCTAACCAGTCAGTTTCCATATATTGCTTCACTGAATTTCATTTATTTATGTTCGTTGGAAAAAACAACGGGAAAGTTAGGTTAGAAAATATGAAACAAAGTTTTTAATTTTTTTTAAATGGATTCATGCATGTTCATTGTATTGAATAGGACGCAAAATTCATTATAACATCTAATTTTCCATAAACAACCAATTCTCCGTAATTGTTTTCGAAATAATTGCATAATATGCAAATTGCCGAGTTTTGCTTCGCTTTTAAATGAGCTTTGGTAAACTGTCTTATGTGTAATGAGTGGTAGGCCTTATGCAGTATGTTAACACACGCTTCTTACCTTTAATCGCATGTTACAAGATAATGCAAACGTGATCAATGAATGCCGATAATTTTTTTCTTTCTTCTGCGACAAAGGACTTAACAGCTTGTTAACGATACCCACATCGTGAAAGGTGGTATAGAAAAAAAAAACAATGAATTCAGAATAAAAAAACTAAAATTCCTCAAAAAATTGTGTTTAACAGCAAAAACCCCTAATATTTATGCATTATATTGCACAAACGAGCAATGTATTTCGCATAAATATTAGATCGCGCAAATAGATCCATCGAGCCTATTGACTATTTATCCGGTAACCCTCAATTATAAGGGGTGGCAGATTATTATTACTCAATTCAAACGAGTTAAGAGTGACCCCATCGTTTGAACCAAACCAGTGTTGTTGGAAACAAAAGAAAAACTGGTTGTGTCGGAGCGACCGCTAGCGAATAAAGAAATCGTTTATTGGGTATACCTATGCGTAATGTGATGGAAGTTATGAATAACGTATGAAAGGGTTGCAAGAGGGTTTAACAGTTTTAATGCGCCGATTATGTTGTTATGGGGTAAATATTTACTGCGCTTTATGTAAATTGACAGGTGCCACTAGCTAGCTGTCCGTAAATGCGATTTATAACTCTATTGATAGCTCAGTAAAACACCGACGTCAAAACACTTATTAAGCTGCATAGAAGATTCATTATTTAAATGTCTTAATCATGAAAAGTATGGCCTACTAGATAGTCAATTGGTTTTCTAACAAAGAAATTCAAAATGAATAAATTTCACTTTAACATTAACTATTATACTTAAAGTTATTAAAGTGTAAATAGAATCATCTCATTAATTTTGTAATGGAAGATCACAATTTTTTCAGAATATAATAGCGGAACTTCTACATACCTGACGGACCTGCTTATATTGTTCTTCGAAACTCCATCCAGCCGCGCTACCTTCGGACGACGAGGACGAGGCTGATCCTGCAGGCTGGGCGGGGGGTGGCGGTGCGGGGGCAAGGAATGCTGGGGGGGCATATGGGAAGTTCCCTCCCCCTCCAGCGAGAGCAAATACGCTGCTGGGGGTCGACAGTGGTGCTCCTTGGGCCAACGATGCCAAGGACGAAAGGTGAGGATGTAATGAAGTCTTCAGCGATTCGAAGTCATCACGCACCTAGAAATATTTCTTTTATGGATCAAGTCGAATAAGAGAACCAACCAGCAGATGATTATATGGAGAGAATTTCGTATGATTTCTTAATAATTGTAGTCTATATACGCGTAATATAAGACAAAAAAGATATATTTTAGTTTTATTTTGTACCTTCATTGAAACAAGAAGTGAAGAGAAGTATTTTAATATGACAAATGTTACCTAGTACTTATAAACTCAAAAACTCTATAGTAAGTAAGATTATTAACTTATAATCTTGCCATAACCATGATAATTTAAACTCAACAAAACAAAAATATATTTTTTATTAACTAGAATATTGGTAATACCCTTACTTTCAACTCGCGTTCAAGCGGTCGGGGCGAGTTCCTCTGGTGTGTATGGTTTAACTGGTGGTTGTTTATCTGATGGTTCATGGTTGCATGGTGATTCATGGTGTGATGAGGCTGGTGGGGCTGGTGCATTGGGGCGAGTGGCGCCTGGTGATTAGCCGGTGCGTCTCGGCCCACGCCTTCGTCGGAGCTCTCACACGATTGTTCACCTGAGGAGTCGCCCTCAGACCGCGCTGACTGTGGAATAATGTCATTTTATTAAATCAAATTATATGTGTTTCTTTAAAAATTAAATAAGTATATATTTATAAATATCTTATTTTGGTCATGCTCTCATTATTTATAACTATATATTTACTTTAGACAAACTACAATTCCTTGCATACAATTTCAAGGCCATTTGATTTTTCTGTCCCTACCAGGATTTAACTCGTTTAATTCTAAAACGCTTCATGGTTCAGAGTTTTGTAAGTATATTTTAAAATTATAAGCAAGCAGGTGCTGCGTAAACTAGCTGTGTACCTCGAACCAGCAATTACTCATAAATGTCGCAAGGCGTCAGTCGATTATATATAAAAAGGAAAAATTTGCCGGAGTCTCATTAAATGTCCCTCCTTTCTGCAAATGTCCTGTTGCGTGTACTCACAGTCCAACTTCGTTAAATTACAAAATTATAGCGAGTTACAATAAAAATATGCCTCCGATGTATGGCAGGAAAAAATATATAGGTACAAAAACTACTCACGTTTGTTATTATTTATACTTGCCTTGAATAACAATGAAACTCTACAAAAATTTTCTACCTATAAATCTGATATAAATTACAATTATTTTTAAATAAAAAGGTAATGCGATTGCAATTTTTTATTTTATTTTAAAGCTATTGATAAATGAAAGTGTCTCCGAAATTTATATGGGTCTACCCCTAGCGGTATAGTGCAAAAATAAAGAAGAAAGATTCATAACACATGATCATCATTGAATTATAAATACTATTTTATGTCTGTTTATATACTTATTACTAATTATGTGTAGTAATATAATATTACATTATTATATATACCCTTTGGGATGTTAAAAAAAACTCACTTTTTATCTAACTATGACAGATAAATTGATAAATACAGATAATTGGGGGAGAGGCGCTGTATGTCGTAATACAGGTCCTAGTATGGCAACAGAGGCTACCATATTTATTGTGTCTACACAGCCTAACTTAAATTGAGGCCTAAAAACTAATTATTCTGAATAATAATATATGTATGTTTGTTTTTTGTATGTTATATTGTTTAGCGTTTAATGTGTCTTTATTGTTTCAATAAATAATAATATTATTATATATGTAACATTTTAGATGAAAAGTAAATTTGTTTCAGCAGAATAGGAAGAATGCTACAAATACCAAGTGTTACTTAAGTATCCGATACCAAATAACGAAATTACGTGTGCATATTAAATTTCATACATTCAAGTGAACAGTAATCAGGGCACTAGCTATAAATCGCCAGCGAATAATCACGTACAAGTAATTCTAAATACATTTTGATGGATACCTCAATAACGTACAATGTTACCCATTTCCATCCGCAATTATTTCTGTTCGTAGGTACCTTTACCTACAATATATTAATCACTTTAATATTAAATGTTGTTCTTGAAAAGCTAACAAAATTGTTAAGTTTTAAGAATTTATATACAACTTGCCTAACATAAGCGATGTATTACTCCAGGGCATAGTCTGTGTACCTACCTACTAAACATCTAGAAAATCCGTTTAGCCCTTTTATTGTGAAAACATAACAAACAAGCACATTGTACACGGACAAACTTTTGCATTTATATAATGATAATCCGATTCTGAAGTGACTAACATGTTCTGATGTAAATCGTATATAATATTTTAATTTACAAGAATCTGCCGAAAAATTGCAAAATCAAAAGTAATTCCGTGATACGAAATATCTCAAACACCTTATTGTAAGAACGAGTCCTTCATGAATAAGATTCAGAAAGTCTTCGATTTACCATAATTTGGTTTGTGGTTTTACAAAACACTTTGCCCAAGGCACTAACTCGGGAAAATTATGTCTCAAATAAACCTATATACGATAACGACATCGATAACATATGGCAAAGGACCTGAAGCGTTCAATAACGATGTTTCAAATTGTCACTGCTTCAAAGTACGCTGAAATGTAAGTTTATGATAGAAGCACTACATTGTAACTTTTAATGAAAATGTTTTATTACATTAAATATGAGGAACTTATATAGATACTTACATATAAATCCGTATTATTAATATTATAAATGTCGAAGTTTGTGAGTATGGATGTTTGTTTATCCCGGAAAAATGTACGGTTCCCGTGGGATAGGTTTGTTTTAGTTTTCCTAGAGGCCCATAAATGAGCCGCTAGTAGCTACATAATTACTATACCTACCTAAAATAATATACGAGATAACGAACGTTTTGTCACACAATAATCATTATTTTATATACGTTGTATTTTTATTAAAAACAATGAACACATCTGAATAACGTAGATAAGTAATAATATCAGCCGTTTTATAATCGGCCATAGTTAGCCCGACAATCCATAGGCTAGATATAAAAGGGCTAAGAAATTAACTGAATTTATGCGAACTGCGATAATGAATTAGGAACCAGTCCGGTACCAAAGTAGTTAAAGTTCCATCGAAATCAATATAACGAAACTGTAGCGCCTGTAGTAATCGGATTCGAAATAAGCGCAGTCGCCGCCAGCCCGCGGCCCCAATTACGACATTAAAATTATTATTTTATTTCCATTTTTATTTATTATTCGCATTATTATATTGTGTGGAGTTATTATCGGTGAAATGTTTCGTTCGGATAAACGCTCGCACGAACACGCAAGCTTCCCGCAATGCCTTGTTTAGGGTCCTGCTATTCGGGTAGATGATATTTTATATATATTATTGATTTTGATAGTGTAATATTCAAATGAAATATAATTGCGTAGTATGTACGTAGGTACTGTGTTTTAGTTTATAAGATTAGCGTTTTTTTAAATAATATATGATGCCGATTAGTAATTACTAATTATAAATACATACCTATCCCTTGAGATAAAACTAAAATTAAATCTTATATTCCAATACGAATAACCAAATATTTATATAGAAAAATACATATTAATTTAAAAATATCAATGCAATGTATAAATTTAATGGATCAATTTTTTTGTATGTAGATATTGTAGAGAACCCTCCCAGTCCGCATCGGTCCAGGATCCTTATATCATAATTGTATTATTCGACTTTCTCATGGTTCCCGGCTGCTACTGAATTCCGTCGTTATTTTACTTTTGAAATGACCGCAATTTGACTTAAACGCTTTATCAATACATATAAAATACGTATTTGGTTTAACATCATGACCTGCCAAAAATTTCGATACATGAGTAAACAAACAAAAATATTATTATATTATTATCAAGTATCGAACTGTAAAAACCAACAGTTGCCAGTACCGATAAGTAGGATAAAAGTTAGCGCAGCATACGCTAATGTCAACTCAAACAGAATCACAAACTCGTATCGCTTTGTTAGAATTTCTTGCGTGGTTTTATAATAAATATTTAACTGTAGTTTGATAAAAAGGTTCATACGTAATTGTATGTCAATAAAAGTGACCGGTATTCTACAAGTACTCTATAATTTCAATAGTGAAATTTTACCATGCATTATGTTACTTTACAAGTTTAGTACTATAAGAAATATTGAAGACTAGCATTGCCCGCGGCTCCGCCCGCGTTCAGATGACCACAAAGCATATTCTTAGGTTTTACATATTAGTATACTCTTACATTGCAGTTTTTATATTTTTTCTCAGAAATGAGATATTTTCCTGCAGTAAAAAGTATCCTATATGTTGACCCGAATAACATACTATATTTACAATACTAAATGTCATAAAAATCCCTTCAGTGGTTTTTCTGTGATGCGGTAACAGACAGACAGACAAACAAAAATTCTAAAAACTATAGATTCGGCCTCTGTATCGATAAAATGTTTATTTCAATAATATTTTCCAAAAAATATTAAATGTACAGATTCGGTTTAATTACAATTTTATTATATGTATAGATACTATCGATCTACAAATATGTTTTAGCTACGATTACTATGTGTTAATACATTTAAATTATTAGAAAGCGGATGAGGCTGTATGTTTGAACGCGCTAATCTCTAAAAGTAACAGTCGGTTTGAAAAAAATATTTTTACATAATATAAATTAACTATTGAGGAAGGTTATATTAAAAACTTGCTTATATTTAAAATACAAATATATAACTAAATACCATTTTCTGGATATTCCCAAACCATACTAAATGAATGCAAACAGAAGGACACACGACTGATTAACGCTTTCAATTTTATTTTTTAATCTTCAGTCTTATTTTTTAACCAATAAGAGCTACTATATACGTCACTGGAATTTTCTAACATTATCAAAGAACGATCCATACTTAAGGGAAGTGCTACTTTATAAAGAGATTATATAAGACGCACCTTTACCAGTCATAAATTTATTTTACGGCGACTAACATTGAATCCTAATTCGAGGCAATATTATTGACATTTGGACGTAATTATGCAAAATAGATCTAATCACTTTTGAGAAAATAGTAGTTTTAGTAAAATTTGTATATTAAAATAACAAGAACGTAGTTTTTTTTAAATTCCTCTTAAATATTGGGTATTTTATCCACTTTCTGTATATAAGTTGATTTGCATAAAGTCTGATTTTTAATTCGACGGAATTCTGACATTTCAGAAGTAATGTCAACTTTAAAACATTGTCACTACAAACGGAAAGCATTTTAGCAAAATAAAAAAGTAAACCTTTCTTGAACTCAAGGTTTCAATTAGAAAAACTAAGACTTAAAAAAATATTGATAACTCTAAAATGGTAATTATTTTTTTATTATCATATTATTGAAGTTAAAATAATTAGTAAGGAAATTATTTTTCTATTACAGGAATCCCTGTGAATACATAGGTTGCAAGCCTTTTTTAGGAAAACCCCTTTGTTTGTAAAATATTTTGTTTTACTCTGTTTTAATCATTTAACCATTACAAATTTACATTATAGTTAGCGTGCATTAAATGCACAAAAGAAAAACTATTTACAATGTCACAAATATAGTTTATTTGATCTAATTCTGTTTCATATTTTTTGTTATTTTATATT